TTCCAAATCCGATAGTTAGTATTTGGATTATCTCTTTATAGCATTAATAAAATTATCTAACTGTCAATAAATATTATGAAAGTAAAACTACTTTTGAATTCTGAAACAAAAGATTAATGACTTGAATTTTTCCTTTCTTTGAATGAAATGAGAGTTATATTATTTGTATTTGTTGTTGTATCTCTAAAATTATGTACACTAAATCAACAACTGAACTTTTAGTCGCCTCAAGTACATTCTATAATTCCAAACTCCAATTTTTTTTTTTTTGTTATTCAAATTAAACTATATAAAAGGAACATGGCTGCATGTGTCTGATTATTTATCGTGCCAATTGTTTTTGAATTTCTAAGAAGCTCCAAGAGCTTCAATCCAACCCATGAGCTATTTTTTAGATTTTTTTCTCTTTTTTAGTAGAGCTGAAAATATTGAATAATAATTAAAAATCTAACTTTGAGTTTAAGTAAACTTTCTCCAACCCATTTGCCTATTAAGTCTCTTCTATATCATATCCTCAATTTCTTCCGAATCTCGGCATTCACAAACCTTCTTTCACCATTCCTAATGATTCTCTCTTTTTTTCTCAATCGACCACTCATATTTTCTTTTACACTTGGATCATGGAGTTTTTTGTGTGATTCATCAACTGATACTTCAAGCTAAAACTACCAGTGAAACAAAACATAGAAATTTATGCACTTTAAGACGAAAAGTAGATGTGCTTTTGAAATATTGTTTTTTATATATTTTCAAATTTAAATATTTTTAGGAGTTTTTTTTCTTTGTAATTTTTTTTTGGTAGCTACCTCCATTCGTGAAGCTATCAATTTTCTTCTTTTTACAAAAAAACATGTTTTGCATTTAGAAAAAAAAAGAATATATTAGCTTACGTGTTTGAAAAAAAAAATAATGGTGTGGCTACCTACGAAATGATTAATAAGCACCTTACGTTAAATTGATTTTCTTAATAGAAATTTAGGCATTGAGCTCTTTTTATTTTAATTAATTATTAGATTTTTCTTTTAAAAGTTTAAACCAATTGGCTTGGTCTTGGACTTGAGTTTAAGTTAATAATTAGAAATACTTACTCAGATGGTATAGAAAGGTTGGAATATTACTAGCACATCATACATTTTTAAAAAATTACTCATATGTTTAGTGTTCTTGTGTAATTACAATTGACACCCTTGATTAGTTTATTTTAATTAAATTTTTTTTATTACTTTTAGTTAAAAAATAAGTAATGAAAAATTAGTTTAATCCACGTCATTAAGAAAAAACAATTAAAGCCACGTCATAAGAGAAAAAAGAGAAAGGAAGACGAAATGTTACGTAACTTATTGTTTCGCGGCAAATTTACATATCACGGCTGAGTTTTAATGCTTCACGGAAGACAAAAGGTTGCGTCAATTTACATATTACGGCTGAGTTATAATGCTTCACGGCTGACTTATCACACCAACTTCACAAGTTTGTCGTGCGTTGTTTCCGCATCTATCTGCACAACTCTACACCCTCTATCGGTGTTAGATACATATTTGTGTTTCTTTACCCAATTACCTGAAACAACAATTACCGGAACCAGATCAATCATATATCGGGAGAAGGATGAACGAAAATGAAGAAGAATGAGGAAGACGATGACGAATTGGATGTTCACAATTTAAGTTCTAGATATCTCTGCTGATGTGAAAAACATAGGTGAAGAACAACACATTGAAGAACAAGACGAGTAGAAGAAAGACGTTTCGTATATCCTTCGATGATGATGACATGGAATGTTGCATCCGACGTCATTTTTTAATTGATGAAGTGGCAACTAAGCCACCAAACGAACATGTAAATCATCCTAATTAAACCAGCCATCAAACAAAACTTTAAGTCAGTCGCAACATGAATACTATTATAGTAATTAAAAAATGAAAAAACGGCTGGCAAAGTCAACCGTTTAATGTCGTAACTCAACCGAAAATCTTTAACTCAGCCGTATCATTTAATAAGTCGGCCTTAATTGCATGCTATTCTAGTAATTAATCTTTCGCTATTAAGTCAGCCGTAATTAGGCCGAGTTTTCCATTAATCCAAATCATTACGGCTGATTTATGACACTCGAACATAAATCAGCTGTAATGACATCCCATAACTAACCGTCTTTGATAACTCAGCCAGCCGGAGAAAGTTGATTCAGCCGTGTCGAAGCAATAACTCAGCTAAAATTTTGACAAATCAACCATCGCGTAAAAACTCAGCAGTAAATTAGGCTGGGTTAAGCTCGAAAGTCAGTCATTTTCTCATAACTCAGACAGATTTCATTAAGTCAGCCGTAACTCCAGGCTGGGTTATACTCGTAAGTTAGCCGTTTTCTCATAACTTAGCCATTTTCCTTAAATCAGCCGCAACATACCGTAACTCAGCTGTCATTGCCGCTTTATCGCTTTAAGGCTGAGTTCATTAATATACGTCAACGATTTCTGACGTGGCGACGCCGTTTATCTGACGTGGCAATGGCATTTTTTGTAATTACATTTTTCCTATAACGTTTAACAGGGTCATGTTGGGTATACAAAATATACCCAATATATGATAGTAATAAAAAAAGATCTGTATGTTTCTGGTCATTTCACCTAATTTGTATGACATCTGAATAACTTTCCCTAATAATTATTAAGTGATATGAAATTGGAAGGAGTTATTATCGGTTGAGAAATCTGATTTGTATTAATCGAAATGTTTTGATTGGTTGACGATTTTAATGAGGTGTCAGTTCCAAAATACTCCAAAATGCTGAGGTGTTAGACTGGAAAGACTTTTGTTATTTTTATTGTATTGATTGATGAAACCAGAAATGAGCCAAACTTTTTTTTTTTTTACATCTTTGGATCGATAAGACCCGATCAATAGTCAATCCTTACTACATGGGGTAACGCGACTTAATGGAGTCGAATTCTGATAGAGAAAGCGGAGTCAAATAGACTTAACCGCTTGAACATCCCCAGAAATGAGCCTAACTAATCACGTTTACTTTTACAATTTTTGGCTTGTCACTACAATAAAAGTATAGTATACCACATTAACGACTTTTGAATCTTGAAAAAATCCATAAGAGTTGGACATTATAACTACTTTGTCTAATTAAAATAATTAATTAATGGAAGTGCTTTCATATAAATATTTGACGACGGTAACAAAATAATCATTACTCAAGATTTTACAATTAAAAAAGAAGTTTGAAGCTTACGGTCTTAACTTTTAAGACAAAATTGTTACGTCATCCCAATCCAGTTCGATTTCACCGTGTGCATATACTGCTTATAGACCACTTTAGTCAATTGGACTTGTTCCAAGTGTTATAATGTGGTAGACTATTCACTAAAAAACTTCCTCACTCCCAAAATCATTCGAATATTTATGGGAAAATTTTGGATTATCGGTAGCAAACCATTCATGTTGATATGTATGAATATCTCTTTTGTGGAGTGAAATCTTTTCCTAACTTGCTCAACATGCAACACAAAATCGAGATTTACATTACATGAATTATGAATAGGAAGATGAGAATACCAAAACTATTAAAAGATTATAGCATAATTAATTAGTAATTTATCAATCATATAGAAAGATATCTTGATTCAAAAAAAAAAATCATATAACATTGAGCGTTACTTTTTTGGATTCATATAACATTGACATCATCGTTTATAGCTATGCATAGCATAGGGAAATTAATTATTCATGTTCTTAACATATTTTTTAATAACATTGACATCGTTTTAATATTTTATGTATGGCGAAACGCTATATTCTGATTTTTAGCTATTGCGAAGAGACGCCTCTAGCCCTTTTTTGAAAAATATTGTGGTCATCATTTCTCAGTTCTTACACTCAGGAGTTCGAATCCAATCCACGTGTATGTAGAAATAAAAAAAAAAAAAAAATCATCGTTGTCTTTTTTTCTTTTTGAGAATCATCAGATTCACAGTTTAGTTTAGTTTTTGTTACTAAATTAGTATTTAAATCTTATGATATTTTAAATACATTAATATATATTTATATAAATGCCTTATTTTTTGTATTTTGCCCAAGATTGTCAAAATGGAAAATTTTCATAAATGCCACATTGTAGAAATATCTCTAACCAAAGTAAACCGAAGAGATCATTAAATCAACTGTGTTATCTTGGAGTGAGTTTCAAATTGCAACAAAAGAGGTTAACTCAGTGAAATAATCAGAAAATAGGAGATTATCCTCATGGACCTCATCTAAATCTCTTTGGATCATTAATCATGCATCTTCAACACCTTCAGAACTAGGGGATGTAAGAATTTCTATTGTAGAAACTTTTGCTGTAGGAACTTTGACTATAAAAACTTTTGGACTGATTGGTAAGACCTATGATTTTTAAAATTGTGATTTTGAATAATATAGAATAAAATAAATTTAAATCTAGACATTACAGTAATAATGAAATTCGTATAACTATCATGTTATATTTTATAGTCAAGTTTTTTTATTAATAAACTAAAATAATGCCACACATAAATTTTTAATTTTTAGATATCAAAGATGTATACTGCAATTTATTAATTAATAAACTCAAATAATGTCATATTTTTCTCTATAAATAAATTACTAAATAAATGAATTTAAAATAATATTTAAGAATAATTAGTTAATGAAAACAGTCGGGTCAATAAATCACTAAAAAGGTTGGTTAATTATTTCCAAGATTTAATATTTTTTTAAATTTGCATTTAAAATATTTCCAAAGTTTTATGGACTAATAATTAACTTTTACGATTTAAATTTGCAAATATATAATATTTTCTAGTATATTTGTATTGTAAATAGTAAAATTTAATTAAACTGATTACCTATATTTTAGTTTGACTGTTATGAGGAAAATAATTATATAAAAAAAAAGATTAGTTTTTTTTTTCTTAAAAAAAACAAAATCCTACAGCCATGACAAATGAGAAAAAATATCCTACAGCCATAATAAAGTCCCATTTATCTGAATTTTAGAAAAAACCAAAGTTTAAAGAGAAAAAAATTAACAGTCCACAGTCTCATAGGATGCTAAAGTGTGACTGGAAAATACTAGGTTTTAAAGACTTGTAGAAAAGCTACAACATTTAAAGTCACCAATCAGCCCGAGCCCAGATATTGCTTTGTAGTCAGCATCATAGCATAATCCATCTCAAAATTCTTCAAAAGACTTTCATAATTCGTTTCAAAGTCAATTATCTGATCAAGATCCAACTCTTGATCGAATTCACCCAAGTTTTCTGGTAAAACATTGTTGTAGTTGTTGTCGGAAATCATTAGCATCTGATCCTCGTCCAAATCTGATAATTGAATATTGTCCTCATACAGATCTCTGGGAGTCACCAATTCTCCATCTTCAACAGTTTCAGCACCAGATAACGGGTTTTGATTAGTCGTCACGATAGAGACATCGTCTATCTCCAAGTTCATCGATAAAGCTTCAGATGTTGTCACATAATCAAAGATTTCATCAAGATCAAACTCTTGATTGCAACCCTCCAAGTTTCCAAGTAAACCGTTGTTGTTGCTGCTGTTGTAAGAAACCGCTAGGGTTTGTTCTTCAGTGTTCTTGTTCACAGTTACGTCATCTTGAATGCATAGACTTGCAGAACACGATTGAGGATTTAGGGTTTGCTGTTGATGAGTTCCGTGTAAAACACCCTTCTTCTCCACGTCCTCACGATCTCGTCGACTTTGCACTCCATTGAAACGCAACTCCTTCAGATCTTTCAACATCTTAGACATTGAGTCCATCGCCTCTCTCAGTTCCTCCGGGTCCTCTGATTTTGAAAGCCTCTCATCTTCCCACCAAAACCCTAACCCTAGACCCTCCCGAGGATGCTGATTCGCGAGGAAAGCGGCAACAACGTTATCAACAGAGGAATGGCCAAAGCTGTAGAAAGAAACATTGGAATTGGAAGAAACCGGAGTCGCTATGATTGCAATTTGTGCATCGGAGAGAAGACAAAGCTCAGAGGCTTTACTATAGAGACCCTTACTGCGTTTTGAGAAAGCAACTGCTCGTGAATCTTTATTCTCTATCAGCTCTATAGAAATCTTCCTCTTCACGCCACCCATGATGTTTTCACGATTTTACAGACAAAGAGAACGAGAAAAATACAGAGAGATTTTTGTGTTTGCCTGTTGCGAAAGAATATGATATGGCTACTCTCTATTTCTAATCGTATATATAGACATTAGTGTGTTGTGTTATTTCCTCTTTCTGACAATTCGCTAATCAGTAATTAAACGAACTAAGTATAAATGTTTTCCTTTTTTGAAAGTAATTACTCTTAAACCACCTGAACCAAGTCTGGTTCAGTTAAACAATCGATTTTATATTTCCTTTTTTCTGATAATTAAACGAATAAGTAAACTGTATCCTTTTCTGAATGTGAGTTTATTTCCTTTTTACGATAATCCACTCAAAACCACCCGAGACGAACCAAGGCTGGTTCAGTGACCAGTTAAACCAAAACTATTTTATACTGGCCAACTGAATTTTGAACACATGCAAACCAAGTTAGCTTAAGGATCTAGATACTTCGTGGGGACAAGTAGAAGCTCGTTTTTCTTGTTGACAGTGAGACCAGGAGCTTCCTCCATGTCGATATCTTCAACCTTCATGCCTTCTGGTAACTTCCAGTCAAAATGATACAACAGATTAGCTAGACCAAACTCCACCATTGTTGCCCCCATGTACATTCCAGGACACATTCTCCGGCCGCCCCCAAACGGTAACAGCTCAAAATGCTGTCCTTTTGCATCAATGTTATTATCCATAAACCTCTCTGGGAGAAACACTTCAGGGTCTTTCCAGGTATCGGGATCACGCCCGATAGCCCATACATTTACATGAAGCCGTGTCTTGACAGGAATTGTGTAGCCGTTGATCTCGAATTCAGACATTGCTTCTCTTGGGAGGAGGATAGGTGTTGGAGGGTGTAACCTCCACGTTTCTTTGATCACCATTTTGAGGTACTCAAGCTGATCTGTGTCATGGAAGCTGATTCTTTCTTTGTTCTTGATTTGGCTTCTGATTTCAGATTGAACTTTTTTCATCACTCGTGGATTCTTCGCGAGTTCTGCCATCGCCCATGTCATGGTTATTGCAGAAGTATCGATTCCTGCTAGCAGAACATTCTGTAACAAGAACATATCAACATTAAATTTCAAAATTTTCCTACAATTGGATTGTGAATCTATGGTTAGTTTACCATCAAGATTGCTTTGATATGGTTTCTAGTGAGCTTGTCATTTCCAAGAACAGCTTCTTCTTTCTCCAACCTCAACAACAAGTCCACGAAGTCTTCACTACCTTCTTCCTTGTCCTGTTTATGGAGATCAAACATTTGTTCATAAAAGGCATCAAGATCTCTCATGCTTGTCTCTCTCCGACCTCGCAAACCTGTAAGCCTGTCAATGATCCATCCGACATACGGAATGAAATCTGAAGCAGAAAAGCTTCCCAACATCTCGAGCGCCTCACGGACTATTTTATTGAATCTGTCACTGTTGAGGACAGTACCCTCAAAATTCACACTAAACGCTGTCCTGCATACTACACTTACAGTTAAAGCAAGAAATGTCTTGTTCAAGTTAACCGGAGACTTCTGAGAGGCTGATTCTGCGATTGAATAGATCAGTTTCTTGACCTCCTCATCCTTCATGGGTTGAATCGAGTGAACTTGTTTAGCATTGAAGAGTTCCTGAACAGCGAGCTTCCTTACTTCTTTCCAGTAATCATCATAAGGTGAGAAAGCTATGTCCAGATAGTTGTAAGAGAGCTCTCTTGGCCCTAAAGAATGAATCAAGATTCAAGAAATTCAAAATTCAAGATTCAATATTATAAAAAGTGTTGATCAAACTTGATGAAACATAAAGGCTTGAGGCCCAAGAAACTTATAAACAAGTCGGTTTATAAGTCGGTGTATTTGTGATCTTATCTTAAATGTGTTTAGGGTTATGTTTTAGTATAAATAGAGGTGCCAAGTTTGTGGCTAACCCTATGAGTTGTTTTGAGATTAAGAAAGATTGTGTAACCTTTGTTTTGAGTTAGTTTCAAAGGTAATAAGAGGAGTGGTTCTTATAAACACAAAGTCTTGATCATTAGGGTTTGATTCTTAGTTCTTAATTCAATAAAAAGGTGAGAAAGCAATCAATCAAGATTCAAGATTCAGGATTCAAGATTCAAGATTCAAGATTCAAGATTCAAGATTCAAGGGTTTTGTTGAACAGAGGAACAGAAATTTTAAATTGTAGTACCTGCCATGCCCGGACGACTACAACAATGGAGGTCATGGATTTTCAAAGCTTGTTTTGCTGTTTCGGAGGTAGAAACTATGACTGTTGGCACACTTCCAAGCTTCAAAAGCATCACAGGATCATACTTTTTGGAGAGACTCCATAGAGACTGATGTGGTAATTCTCCAAGCTGATGCAAGTTTCCGATGATCGGAAAGCCTGGTGGAGACGGTGGTGTCCGTTGGTAATTCCTCCGCTTCTTGTGGTTGAACACGGCTACAATAATACAGATGAAGAAGAAAAGTGAGAGAAGCCAAATGTTAGGCATTTCTTATTCTATTGCAGCTAAAGGAACTCCATAAGGGGTCGTCTATATTATATTACTGTCTTCAATTATTTTAAATATATATTCTCTGTAACGTTAACTTAATTTTATATTCAAAAAAACTATTTTTTGTCTTTGAAAAGTTGGCAGAAGTTAATTGGATAATATCAAGAACTAACCATAGAAGACTCGAAGATTAACTGACACTATTAAACACTGTTTGGTCAATGATTTTTTATTGTTTTTAATTTGTTTAATTTTCATTCTTCTCTCTCCTTGCCTCTTTCTTGGACGAAGTGCTTCATCATGAAATTGACATGAACAAAATTTTTAATGGAGAAATAAAATAAAATCAGAATTAAACCAAATTTCAATAAACCATTGTTGTGGAAAAAAGGTGATCTAAACTCAACAAATTATTTAATTAAGACAAAACAAACTCAACAAAATCTCTTGCATTTTTTTTTGAATACTAGGAGGTTCTGGGCCAAAGCCTGTAATCTCTCCAGATCCGAAACCACATCATGTAATATTAGTTTTCTCCCAAACGTCGCTTGAACCGGCGACCTCTAAGCTTCGCCTAGGGTTTCAACAAAATCTCTTGCATTGGATTGGAATAAAACATTGCTAGTTTAATTCATATGGCTCCATCTGATTAAAAAGAAGAAGAAGAAGAAGCAAATTACACACTTCAGTGATCGTTACTTTTTTGGATTCATATAACATTGACATCATCTTTTATAGCTATGCATAGGGAAATGAATTATTCATGTTCTTAACATATTTTTAAATAACATTGACATCGTTTTAATATTTTGTGTAGTGAAACGCTATATTCTGATTTTTAGCCATTGCGCGAAGAGACGCCTCTAGCCCATTTGAAAAATATTATGGTCGTCATTTCTTATAGCAAAATGACATATTATTATTTGTATAGCTTTGTGTCAACCCAACATTTTTCTTCTTCTGAGACTTAGCATGCTTTAAATCTAGTGCTTCTCCGACTTTTTATACTAAATTTATTTGACCAAATAGTGAATTTGTAAGCGTCTTTTTCTGCTTGGATCATGGTACTGATTTACACGTCCATATAAGATAATAGATTCAAAATTTCAAACACATTTTCTTGTTAGGTCTTAGCTTGATGTTCAATGTTTGTGAACAAATCTTGTGAAAGAGAAAAAATGAAGAGTTGCAACCATGTGATCATACAAGACCATCTCATCTGGGAACCAAATTCAACCGATTAGAATCTTGAGAGCGCAAATTACAAAATCGTAATGCGTTAATCAGTTGTTTTAAAAAGAAGATGTTCTTTTATTTTATTCCGTCTTATAAAACATCAAACGAAAATGAGATTTTGTTTTGTCTTTTTGTTCCTTGTGATGAACGTTAGCTTAAGGATCTAGATACTTCGTGGGGACAAGTAGAAGCTCGTTTTTCTTGTTGACAGTGAGTCCGGGAGCTTCTTCCATGTCGATATCTTCAACCTTCATGCCTTCTGGTAACTTCCAGTCAAAATGATACAACAGATTAGCCAGACCAAACTCTACCAGTGTTGTCCCCATATAAACGGCAGGACACATTCTCCGGCCGCCCCCAAACGGTAACAGCTCAAAATGCTGTCCTTTTGCATCAATGTTACTATCCATAAACCTCTCTGGAAGAAACACTTCAGGGTCTTTCCAGGTATTGGGATCACGCCCGATAGCCCAGACATTTACATGAAGCCGTGTCTTGACAGGAATCGTGTAGCCGTTGATCTCAAATTCAGACATTGCTTCTCTTGGGAGCAAAAGAGGTGTTGTAGGATGTAATCTCCATGTTTCTTTGATAACCATTTTGAGGTACTCGAGCTGATCTGTGTCATGGAAGCTGATTCTTTCTTTGTTCTTGATTTGGCTTCTGATTTCAGATTGAACTTTTTTCATCACTCGCGGATTCTTCGCGAGTTCTGCCATCGCCCATGTCATGGTTATTGCAGAAGTATCGATTCCTGCTAGCAGAACATTCTGTAACAAGAACATATAAACATTAAATTTTCAAATTTTTCTTACTATTGAATTGTGAATCTATGATTTAGTTACCATCAAGATTGCTTTGATATGGTTTCTAGTGAGCTTGTCATTTCCAAGAACAGCTTCTTCTTTCTCCAACCTCAACAGCAAGTCCACAAAGTCTTCGCTACCATCTTCCTTTTCTTGTTTATGCAGATCAAACATTTGTTCATAGAAGGCATCAAGATCTCTCATGCTTCTCTCTCTCCGTCCTCGCAAACCTGTAAGCCTGTCGATGATCCACCCGACATACGGAATGAAATCTGAGGCAGAAAAGCTTCCCAACATCTCGAGCGCCTCACGGACTATTTTATTGAATCTGTCACTATTGAGCACAGTTCCTTCAAAATTGACACTAAACGCTGTCCTGCATACCACACTAACAGTTAATGCAAGAAATGTCTTGTTCAAGTTGATCGGAGTCTTATGAGAAGCTGAATCCGTGATTGAATAGATCAGTTTCTTGACCTCCTCGTCCTTCATGGGTTGAATCGAGTGAACTTGTTTAGTATTGAAGAGTTCTTGAACAGCGAGCTTCCTAACTTCTTTCCAATAATCATCATAAGGAGAGAAAGCAATGTCCAGATAGTTGTAAGAGAGCTCTCTTGGCCCTAAAGAATGAACCAAGATTCAAGATTCAAGAAAATTTCAAAATTCAAAATTCAAGAAAATTCATAATTCAAGATTCAAGAAAATTCATAATTCAAGATTCAAGATTCAATATTATCAAAAGGTGAGAAAGCAATCAATCAAGATTCAAGATTCAAGAAGATTCAAGATTAAAGACTTAAGGGTTTTGTTGGAACAGATAAACAAATATGTAAATTTAGTACCTGCCAAGCCTGGACGACTACAACAATGGAGGTCATGTATTTTCAAAGCTTGTTTTGCTGTTTCGGAGGAAGAAACTATGACTGTTGGGACTCTTCCAAGCTTCAAAAGCATCACCGGACCATACTTTTTGGAGAGTCTCCATAGAGACTGATGTGGTAATTCTCCGAGCTGATGCAGGTTTCCGATGATCGGAAAGCCAGGAGGAGACGGTGGTGTCCGTTGATAACTCCTCCGCTTCTTGTGGTTGAAAACGGCTACAAGAATACAGATGACGAAGAGAAGTGACAGAAGCCAAATGATAGGCATTTCTTCTTATTTTATTGCAGCTAAAGCAACTCCATAAGTGTCGTTTATATAGTACAATAGTACATTGCTGTCTTCAATTATTTTAAATATATATTCTCTGTAACGTTAACTTAGTTTTATATTCGAAAGAAATATCTTTTGTCCTTGAAAAGTTTGTAAAAGTTAATTAGTGTACTCTAAAACAAATAATACATACGTAATTTACATGGTTTTATTTATTAAAACTACCCACGTTATTTATGTTTATTGGAAATTTTAAATAAAAAACTTTACAGCAATAGAGAAATTATTAAAAATAAAAAACTATGCCAGAGAGATAAAGAGAAACACCGTTGACGAAGTCAAACACGAACAACGACCGTCGATTTGAGTCAGCTCTAATCTCAACCACACGATCTTCTCATCTCTGGCACAAGTAGGAGTTCATTTTTCTTGTTCACAGTGAGTCCAGGAGCTTCGTCCATGTCGATATCTTCGACCGTCGTGCCTTCTGGTAACTTCCAATCAAAATGATACAAGAGATTAGCTAGACCAAACTCCACCATTGTTGTCCCCATGTATATTGCAGGACAGATTCTCCGACCGCCACCAAACGGTAACAACTCAAAGTTCTGTCCCTTTGCATCAATGTTATTATCCATAAACCTCTCCGGGAGAAACACTTCAGAGTCTTTCCAAGTATCAGGATCACGACCAATAGCCCAAACATTCACATGAAGCCGAGTCTTGACAGGAATCGTGTAGCCGTTGATCTCAAATTCAGACATTGCTTCTCTTGGAAGCAGAAGTGGTGTTGTAGGATGTAATCTCCATGTTTCTTTGATCACCATTTTCAAGTACTCGAGCTGATCTGTGTCTTCGAAGCTGATCATTGATCTGTTGTTCCCCATTTGAGTTCTTATTTCAGATTGAACTTTCTTCATCACTCGTGGGTTTCTTGCAAGCTCTGTCATTGCCCATGTCATTGTTATCGCAGAAGTATCGATTCCCGCAAGAAGAACATCCTGTGTCATTCAAAACATATCAGAATCTTTGCTACTACTACTACTACTACATAAAGGATTGCTAGCTAAATCTTGTTTTAGTTACCAGCAAGATTGCTTTGATATGGTTTCTTGTGAGTTTATCATTTCCAAGAACTGCTTCTTCTTTCTCCAACCTTAAGAGCAAGTCCACAAAATCTTCACTCCCCTGTTTCTTTCCCTGTTTATGAAGATCAAACATTTGTTCAATGAATGCATTGAGATCTCTCTTGCTTCTTTCTCTCCTTCCATGCAAACCCGTCAACAAATCGATGATCCATCCGACATACGGAATGAAATCCGAGGCAGAAAAGCTTCCCAACATCTCGAGCGCCTCCCGGACTATTTTATTGAATCTGTCATTGTTGAGTACAGTTCCTTCAAAACTCACCCCAAAAGCTGTCCTGCATACTACACTTACAGTTAGAGCAAGACACTTATTGTTCAAGTTAACTGGAGTCTTCTGAGAAGCTGATTCGGCGATCGAATCGATCAGTTTCTTGACCTCCTCGTCCTTAATCGGTTGAATCGAGTGAACTTGTTTAGTACTGAATAGTTCTTGAACACAGAGCTTCCTTACTTCTTTCCAATAATCATCAAAAGGTGAGAAAGCAATGTCTAGATAGTTGTAAGAAAGCTCTCTTGGTCCTAAATAACGATCAAGATTCAAGATTCAAGATTCATGGGGTTTCTTGAATTCTATGAAACAGAGGAACAGAAATTGAAACTATAGTACCTGTCAAGCTTGGACGAGTACAACAAAGGAGATCATGAACTCTCAGAACTTGTCTTGCTGTATCCGAGGAAGAAACAACGACTGTTGGGACTCTTCCAAGCATCAAATGCATCACCGGACCATACTTCTTTGAGAGTTTCCATAGAGACTGATGTGGTAATTCTCCGATCTGGTGTAAGTTTCCGATGATTGGAAAGCCAGGAGGAGACGGTAACTGCCGATATTCCCGATGTTTCTTGTGGTTGAAAACGGCGAAAAGAATACAGACGAGGAAGATAAGTGGAAGAAGCCAAATGTAAGCCATTTCTGATTTGATGGCCGATGAAGGGAAGGCTCTCTTGAGTTAAGCTTGAAGAGTTAGTTAACTTGAGGGATGAGTTAACAAAATAAAAGGATATAGTTTAAGAGATTTGGAAGTTATCCAAAAGTGTTTAGGAGTTATCTAAATGCTAAACCTAGTTAGACTTAGATTAGGTCTTTAGGTTTTCTATATAAAGAGATACCAAAGTTGTGGTAATCCTTAAGAGTTGTTTTTGAGTTTAAGAGTTTGAGAAAGAGAGATTGTAAGATTGAGAGCTTGAGATTAATAAAGAGAGTTATTCTTTATTCTTGTGTTCTTAAACTTGTTTGATTCAATAATTGGTATCAGAGCAAGAACGTGAAAGCAATTCACGATGTCAGATTCGTCAGGAGAAGAAGATGAGAAACCAAACACGAAAACACCTTCAAAAGAAATCGGATCCTCTGCCATAAAGTATCCGATGCTTACTTCCTCCAATTACACTGTTTGGGCTATGCGGATGAGAATTGCGCTTAGGGTAAATAAGGTGTGGAAGACCATAGATCCGGGAGATCCAGATGAAGAGAAGAACGATGTGGCAATAGCCTTATTGTTCCAATCCATACCAGAAGCCTTGATCTTACAAGTTGGAGACCACAACACTGCAAAAGAAACTTGGGACGCAATAAAAGGAAGACATGTTGGAGCTGAAAGAGTTCGAGAAGCTAGGTTACAAACTTTGATGGCGGAATTTGATAGAATCAAGATGAAGGAGACAGATTCAATAGATGCTTTTTCAGGAAAACTTTCGGAGATCTCCTCTACTGCAGCATCCCTTGGAGAAACCATTGAAGAACCGAAACTTGTGAAAAAGTTTCTCAAAAGTTTACCTAGGAAGAGATATATACAAATCACTGCAGCTCTTGAATAGGTTCTTGACCTGAACAAAACAACTTTCGAAGACATTGTTGGACGATTAAAAGTGTATGAAGAAAGGATTGTTGATGAAGAAGAAGAGCAACACGAAGATCATAATAAGCTGATGTATGCGAGTACGGACTCACAAGCAACCTATACTGAAGGATACAGAGGAAGAGGCAGAGGAGGTCGGTTTAATTGGTGAGGTAGAGGCCGCGGGCGTTTTAACAACTATCAAAACGGATCATACAGACAAAAGGAAAGAGATGCGTCAATGATAACTTGTTACCGATGTGATAAATTAGGGCATTATGCATCGGATTGTCCCGATAGGTTGCTTAAGCTACAAGAAACTGTTGAAAAGAAGGATGATGCAACACATGAAGCTGAGGAATTAATGATGCATGAGGTGGTTTATCTTAATGAAAACAAGGTAAAGCCAAGTTGCTTTGAAGCTGACCTAGACTCAACTAATGTGTGGTATCTCGATAATGGTGCGAGTAACCACATGAGTGGGAATCGATCCTTCTTCTTAGATCTTGATGAGACAATCGTGGGAAAGGTACGTTTTGGAGATGATTCACGCATTAATATCAGAGGAAAAGGATCAATTCAGTTTGCATTCGAAGATAGTAATAAAAAGGTACTCAAAGTCTTGAAGAACATATACTATATACCCGATCTCAAGAGTAATATAGTAAGTCTTGGTCAAGCCACAGAAGCAGGATGTGAGGTACGTATGAAGGAAGAGTTCTTGACACTCTATGACCGGTCTGGACACTTACTGGTAAAGACTACAAGATCAAGAAATCGTTTATACAAAGTAACTTTACATGTGGAGAATCCAAATTGTCTACAATTGATCACATCGACCGAGTCTAACTTGTGGCACTCACGGTTAGGACACACTAATCTGGAGACAATGAAGAAGATGATCAACAAAGAACTTGTGACCGGTGTACCAAAGCTTATAGTTGAAAAAGAAACTTGTGTGTCGTGTTTACTTGGAAAACAGACTAGAAAATCCTTTCCCCAAGCAACCACCTATCGAGCTGATCAAAGACTTGAGCTTATCCATGGGGACCTTTGTGGACCTATCACACCTTCCACTCCGGCTCAGAAACGGTATGTCTTTGTCCTCATTGATGATCACTCCCGTTACATGTGGACAATCCTCTTGAGAAAGAAGAGTGAGGCTTTTGAAAAGTTCAAGAAATTCAAAGTACGTGTGGAACAAGAAACAAGAGAAAAAATCAAGACACTACGTACGAATAGAGGAGGAGAATTTGTGTCAAATGAATTTCAAGCCTACTGTGATGAGCATGGAATCATGAGACACTTGACTGCGCCCTACTCTCCTCAGCAAAATGGTGTTGTTGAGAGACGTAATAGGACTCTCTTGGAGATGACTAGGAGTATTCTAAAGCACACGGGTTTACCAAATTTTCTATGGGGAGAGGCTGTTAGACATTCTACCTATTTGATCAATAGGATTGCAACAAGATCTTTGGTACAATCAACCCCATATAAAGCGTTTAATGGGAGAAAACCAAATCTTGAGCATCTTAGGGTATTTGGTTGTGTTTGTTATGCAAGAACAGAAGCTGTGGGAAGAAAGAAACTTGATGACAGGTCAAGAACATTGATACATTTAGGAACAGAGCCCGGGACCAAAGCATATCGATTGTTTGATTCTGAAACCAAAAGGATAGTGGTGAGCCGTGATGTCATATTTGATGAGAGTAAAGGGTGGAGCTGGAAAAATAAAGAAAGAGAGGATCACAAAGAGTCTGAGACATTCTCTATTAGCTTGGGAGAGTTTGGTAACAAAGGCTTAAGAGAAACTGATACTCTTGAAACAGAGGAAGACACGCGGATTACTCAAACTACAAGTGAAAGTATCGTAGAAGTGGAAGACGATACAGAGGAAGAAGAAGATAGTGAAGCTATGAACAATGAAGATGGTGATGATGAAAGTGAACAAGCACCACAACCGCAGCTTAGAAGATCGGGTAGAACCATTGTGAAGTCGGCATATCTAAATGACTATGTTCTTATGGCTGAAACAGAGTGTGAAAGACTCTTGACAGTGATCAACGATGAACCGTGGGATTTTAACGAAGCCAGAGAACTCAAAGTATGGACAGACGCATGCAAAGAAGAGCTTTCATCGATAGAAAAGAACAAAACATGGAACTTGGTTAGTCTTCCCATTGGTGTTAAGGCAATTGGCTTGAAATGGGTCTTTAAAATTAAAAGGAACGCCGATGGAAGTATTAACAAGCACAAGGCACGACTCGTAGCCAAAGGATATGTTCAGAGACATGGCATTGATTTTGATGAAGTGTTTGCTCCAGTGGCACGTATTGAAACTATTCGCTTTATCATCGCATTGGCGGCTTCTAATGGTTGGGAAATACATCACCTGGATGTTAAAACCGCGTTCTTGCACGGTGAGTTGAAAAAAGAAGTCTATGTTAGTCAACCAGAGGGATTTGTAGTCTTGGGAAGTGAAAACAAAGTTTATAAGTTGAATAAAGCTCTTTACGGCTTAAGACAAGCACCTAGAGCTTGGAATGACAAGTTAAATGCTATCCTCAGAGAATTCAAGTTTCATAGGTGTTCTAAAGAACCGTCATTGTATCAAAGAGAAGAGAAAGGACATTTACTTGTCGTGGCCGTGTATGTAGATGATCTACTTGTTGCAGGATCTTCCTTGAAGTTGATACGAGAGTTTAAAAGAGAAATGGGAACCAAGTTTGAGATGAGTGATCTTGGTAAGCTGACATACTATCTTGGAATCGAAGTGCATCAACATGAGAATGGTATTAGTCTAAAGCAAGAGAGGTATGCATCAAAAATACTAGGAGAAGCAGGGATGGAAAGTTGTAATCTCTCACATATCCCAATGGAGATGAACCTACAACTCTCTAAATCTCAGAGTGAGAAGAGTATCAGTGAAAAAGATTACAGAAGAAGCATAGGATGCCTCCGGTACTTGATACACACACGCCCGGATCTATCTTACAGTGTTGGAGTCTTAAGTAGATATATGCAGGAGCCTAAAGAGTCACATGGTGCAGCCTTAAAGCAAGTCTTGAGATATGTACGTGGAACCACTTCACTTGGCCTTTTCTTCAAGCGGACAGAAAAGGTGAAGCTGGTAGGTTATAGTGATAGCTCACATAATGTTGATTTGGACGATGGAAGAAGCACAACAGGCCATGTATTCTTTCTTGATGATTGTCTGATTACTTGGTGCTCACAAAAGCAAGACACAGTCGCAATGTCTTCATGTGAAGCAGAATTCATGGCGGCTACGGAAGCAGCAAAACAAGCTATATGGCTCAAGGAATTGATGAGTGAAATATTAAGCATCAAAGGCGAGAAAGTTTTGTTGAGGATTGACAACAAGTCAGCTATAGCTTTGACTAAGAATCCGGTGTTTCATGGGAGAAGCAAACACATTCATAGAAGGTACCATTTCATTAGAGAGTGTGTGGAAAATGAGCAAGTGGAGGTAGAACATGTTCCCGGTAATGAGCAAAGGGCGGATATTCTAACCAAACCACTTGGAAGAATAAAATTTAAGGAGATGAGAAGTCTCATTGGAGTTCAAGATGTGAAGAAGGATAACTTTAAGCTTAAGGGGGAGAATGTTGAGTTAAGCTTGAAGAGTTAGTTAACTTGAGGGATGAGTTAACAAAATAAAAGGATATAGTTTAAGAGATTTGGAAGTTATCCAAAAGTGTTTAGGAGTTATCTAAATGCTAAACCTAGTTAGACTTAGATTAGGTCTTTAGGTTTTTTATATAAAGAGATACCAAAGTTGTGGTAATCCTTAAGAGTTGTTTTTGAGTTTAAGAGTTTGAGAAAGAGAGATTGTAAGATTGAGAGCTTGAGATTAATAAAGAGAGTTATTCTTTATTCTTGTGTTCTTAAACTTGTTTGATTCAATAGGCTCTACAAATGTATATGCACATTTCTGTCTTCAATTATTTTCTTACTGTGGGTAATCCCGCAACGTGTACATAATATTCATTTTAAATAATTTTATTAAAATAATACTATTTGATGAAGAAAAAGTACTTGCAAATGTTTATGATCCTGATGAAGAAGAAGAAGAAGAAGAAGATGTAATGGAAGTAGAAGAGGTAGAGCGTAGAGTTTCTCCAGAGCCTTCCATACCCCCTGAGGCAGAGGCAGAGAGTAGTACCTGTTTCGTCCTTCCCGAAAAGGTTGGTACATGCGTCTTCTGGGACGTCCAGGATTACCCAGTTCCTCTAGGTCTGCAGCCTGAAACGTTTATTCAGAATATCAAGACAGCTCTTGGAACAGAGGATGACATCTTAATCTTGGCTTATGTTGCTGATGAGAAATCTTTCCCGGATAGCTATCGTACCCATTCCAGATTCACCTCAGTTTCAGCAGACAAATATACAAGACTTACTGTGATGATGGTGGACATTATTTGCTGGGTTGTGAAAAATCGTTCTGCGTGCCCAAACCTGTTGGTAATCGCGAATGCCAGTGTAGAAGATCGACAATTCTGGCCATTTCTTCTAGGTTTGGGATATAGAGGTTTCAATATTTTTGCAACAATCCCTGATACGGACTTACCTGATGATAAAACTAAGACGGCGGAAAGGCTTATGTTTAACAAGTCCTTATTGTCTTGGAAAAACCTTTCATGTAAACGAAAGCGTAAGGGCATAGAGGATACTGTTTCTAGTTCTGATGACTAACTTCTGTGCGCAGCAGGTCTCAACTACCCCCTGGTTTGACAACAATGTTTTATCATTTCTATGTACCTCTGAAAACATTGAGCTTTCATCTTTGTTAAACTCTTTCTTCTGTTGAACGCTTTGCTCTGTTAAACTCTTTGTTCTGTTAAACTTTTGCTGTTTTAAAAAAAAAAAAAAAATTTATTTTAGATAAAAAAATATCATAATTTCATGATTAAGTGTAGGTAAAAAAATTTTGTTCAAGTTTCTCTCTTTAGATGTGTTTTTGAAGATAACCATAAGGTGAGCCCTTCATCATATATGAGCCAATACAGAGGAAAAAAAACAGAGAGAGAAGCAGAGCACTCTGTTTAGGAGAGCTAATGTTTTCTCTGTTGAAACATGTTGTTTTGTAAGGTTGAGTGGAATTTAGGAATTGATTAGTGACGAGTCAAAGATCTATTGAGTAACAAATGAACAAAACATTTAGTTTTATTTAGTACAACCGATACCATGAAAAGCTTATTTTACTTGATCAATGATTTAAAAACTTAACAGGAAGAAGTGAAAGCTCATTTTTCTTGCTCGCATTGAGTCCAGGAGATTCTTCCATGTCGATGTCTTCAACCACCTTGCCTTCTGGTAGTTCCCAATCAAACAGATACAACATATTGGCAAGACCAAACTCCACCATTGTTGTCCCCATGTACATGGCAGGACACATTCTCCTACCACTTCCAAATGGTAATAACTCAAAGTTTTGTCCTTTTGCATCAATGCTACTATTAGCAAACCTCTCTGGAAGAAACTCCTCCGGGTCTTTCCATGTATCGGGATCACGCCCGATAGCCCATACATTAACATAAAGTCTTGTCTTGGCTGGAATCGTATAGCCGTTGATCTCAAATTCGGACATTACTTCTCTTGGGACCAGAAGTGGTGCTGGAGGATGTAGCCTCCATGTTTCATTGATCACCATTTTCAGGTAATGGAGCTGATCTATGTCATCCAAGGTGATCATTGACTTGCCCCCAATTTGATTTCTGATTTCGGATTGAACTTTCTTCATTACTCGCGGGTTTCTCATAAGTTCTGTCATGGCCCATGTCATTGTTATTGCAGAAGTGCCGATGCCTCCAAGAAGAACATTCTGTAATAAGACCATCAAAAATTTACAATCTTCATGTATTATAATATAATCCTAGAATTTAAAGGCAAATCTTTGTATAGTTACCATTAAGACTGCTTTGATATGGTTTCTTGTGAGCTTGCCATATCCAAGAACAGTTCCTTCTTTCTCCAACTTCAAGAGCAAGTCCACAAAATCCTCAACTCCTTCTTTATTCCCCTGTTTATGTAAATCAAACATTTGTTCATAGAACGCATCAAGACCCCTCACACTTCTCTCTCTTTGCCCTTGTAAACCCGTGAGCCAGTCGATGATCCAACCGACATTTGGAAAATAATCCGAGGCAGAGAAGCTCCCCAAGAACAAAAATGCATCATGGATTAACTTGTCGAAGTTGTCACTATTAAGCACAGTTCCTTGGAAACTAACACCAAATGCTGACTTGCATATCACGCCTACAGTTAAAGAAGCTAACTTCTCACTCAAGTTAACCGGAGTTTTCTGAGCAGCTGATTCGGAGAATGAATTCATCAGTTTCTTGACTTCCTCGTCTTTTATGGGTTGAATCAAGTGAACTCTGTTAACACTGAAGAGTTCTTGGACACAAATCCTCCTTAATTCTTTCCAGTAATCATTAAAAGGAGAGAAAACTATGTCCAGATAGTTGTAAGAGAGCGCTCTTGGTCCTAAATAAATCATTAGGTTTTGTTAAATCCTATAAACAAAACTTTTATATGGGTTGAGTGAGAGTTACGGTACCTGCTAAGCTTGGACGGCTACAACAATGGAGGTCATGGATTTTCAAAGCTTGTTTTGCTGTTTCAGAGGAAGAAACTACGACCGTAGGGATACTTCCAAGCTTCAAAAGCATGACAGGACCATACTTTTTGGAGAGACTCCATAGAGATTGATGTGGTAATTCTCCGAGCTGAAGTAAGTTTCCGATGATCGGAAAGCCCGGTGGAGACGGTGGTTTCCGTTGATGTTGCCGCCGCTTCTTGAGTTTTAAAGCGGCAAGAAAAATACAAGAGAGAAAGAGAAGTGAGAGAAACCAAATTGTAGCCATTTGTTGATTTGATGACTGATGAAGCGACAGCTATATAAATAAGCTCAGTGTTGTCTTCAATTATTTTCTGACATTAGCTTTATTATTAAACTTTTGAAAAGAAATAATAAGTTAACTTCATTTGCATGTATAAATAATTATTTATAAGATGAATATGGGTGGGCTTGTGCTATTTATAGTTTTCTCTAGTGTTTTACGACGGAAATATAAATGGTTTATATTTATATAAATAGTTTATTTGAGTAACTAAACAAAATATTTTAGTTGAGTAACCAAAAATAGTAAAATACACATCTAGATGAAGTTTTGGTCACAAAATTTCAGGTGAAAAGAGATCATCAAACTACTCTAGCTACCAATAGTATACCTCCTTGATTGATTTCTTCTATACAAACAATTCAACATCGTTTAATTAATCTCTATATGTTGAAAAAAATAACAATTCGAAATCGTTAATAAAAGTATTATTTCAGAAGAAAAATGATAAATAGAGAACTGGTTAGGTAATCCAAGAGATTCTGACAATCACATGAATCACATGAATCACAAGATATTATATGTCGGGTACCCTTATATGTCATCATATTTTCTTCTTTATTCCCATAAAAAATTTAGTGGGATAAATAATATTGAATCATAATGAAAAAATACGTCATGATATTGTTTTCTAGTTAGCTACTTTTTTCTAAAATTTAACTACTATCATAGAACTTATACTTTATAATGAATCAATTACAGATTTTGCCATCTTTATAAAGTTGCATTTGTTGATTATACTATTTTTTGAATAGTTTGTGAATTTATAGAAAATGTGTGTTTCTATCTATGTAACGTCAAAGTTCATTATTAATCTACTAAATCAAATTTTAGTTTGTACATTTTTAATTTTAGTTTAGTACAATATGTTTAGAATTTTTTTCTAGTGTTTTTAATTTTAATAAGAATATAACTTATTAAATTATTTCATGAAAATATAAATTTATAGATTTAAAAAAATTGAAAATAATTTAGTTGAAATATAATAAAATCTAAAAAAATATTATTAAGATGAAAACATATATAGGTTTAGTTATTTTGATACAACATACATCCAGAAACAAATGCAAATTATTAAACACTAAACGAAAAAAATCTTCATTTAGATGTTCTATATATCCAGATGCACTATAAAATTTTTTTTTTTTTTTTATAACCCAGGTATCCGGGCCGAAGCCCGACTAGCACCAAGGCTTGAGGCCGGTTTCTTTTTGGGCTGTCCGAACCCAACGATCAGTTTGTTTCCTGGAGGCCTGCAACCGCCATATAAATACCGCAGTGGCCAACGCTAGCCCTCGAACTGCGGGCAGCATATTGGGATTACCCCCTCAAGTGCCACTAGCCTAACCCACGTTCGTTATGCACTATAAATTCGTAAACGAACAACATCATATGCATCAGGATAGATCATATGAATCCAAATGTACAAACGAACAGTACCTTATATGAAAGGTGTTTTATATTAACGCTAGTAGTTATGGTCGGTTCTAATCTGTTATTTTAAGCAAAATAAAAAGATTATAATTTATATATATGAAATATTGAAAGCAACAAAGAACATTGTTGGATTGAAACGACGAGAGACAATGGAACACAAGATTATAGTTTTACTTATGTAGAATCGATGCTACATTTAATTTTATAATCTCATGAGTAACTTAGTTTAAGTGATCAATGACCTAAATACTTGACGGGAACAAGCAGAAGCTCATTTTTTTTGCCCACAGCGAGTCCAGGAGATTCTTCCATGTCAATATCTTCGACCACCATACCTTCTGGTAATTCCCAATCAAACTGATATAGCATATTCGCCAGACCAAACTCCACCATTGTTGTCCCCATGTACATTCCAGGACAGATTCTCCGGCCACTTCCAAACGGTAACAGCTCAAAGTTCTGTCCTTTAGCATCAATGTTATTTTCCATAAACCTTTCCGGGAAAAACGTATCTGCATCTTTCCAGGACTCGGGATCACGCCCGATAGCCATTGATCTCAAATTCAGACATGACCTCTCTTGGAAGTAGAAGAGGTATTGGAGGATGTAGCCTCCATGTTTCTTTGATCACCATATTCAAGTAAGGTAGATGATCTATATCATCTAAGGTGATCACCGATTGGTTTCTCATTTGGTTTCTGATTTCGGATTGTACTTTCTTCATCACTCGCAGGTTTCTTATAAGTTCTGCCATGGCCCATGTCATTGTCATTGCAGAAGTATTGATGGCCCCAAGAAGAACGTTCTGTGATAAGATGATACAAAAAAATGTTATAAGCTTAAGGTATCTAATGTTTTGGTATATATGGATTGCGAATATTTGTATACTTACCATCAAGATGGCTTTGATATGGTTTCTTGTGAGCTTTCCATATCCAGGAACAGTTTCTTCTTTCTCTAACCTCAATAGCAAGTCCACGAAATCTTCGACTCCCTGTTTGTTTTCTTGTTTATGCAGATCAAACATTTGTTCATAGAACGCATCAAGATCCCTCACGCTTTTTTCTCTCCGCCCTTGTAGACCCGTGAGCCAGTCGATGATCCAGCCACCATTTGAAAGTTTGAGGCAGAAAAGCTCCCCAGAAACAAAAACGCCTCGCGGATTAACTTGTCAAATCCATCATTGTTGAGAACTGTACTATGGAAGCTTAGACCGAATGCTGCCTTGCATATCACGCTTGCAGTTAAATCAAGAGACTTCTCGCTCAAGTTAACTGGTGATTTCTGGGAGGCTGATTCCGTGGCTGAATCGATCAGTTTCTTGACTTCCTCTTCCTTTATGGGTTGAATAGAGTGAACTCGTTTAACACTGAAGAGTTCTTGGACACAAATCCTCCTTAATTAATTCTTTCCAATAATCATCAAAAGGAGAGAAAGCAATGTCCAAATAATTGTAAGAGAGCTCTCTTGCCCCTAACAAATAATCAAAATCATGGGTTTTCTTGAGTTCTATGAACAAAGGAACAAATAGAAAAAAAAATTGTATATGTTGAGTATGGTACCTGCTAAGCTAGGACGGCTACAACAATGGAGGTCATGGATTTTCAAAGCTTGTTTTGCTGTCTCAGAAGAAGAAACAACGACCGTTGGGACACTTCCAAGCCTCAAAAGCATCACCGGACCATATGTTTTGGAAAGACTCCATAGAGATTGATGTGGTAATTCTCCAAGCTGATGCAAGTTTCCTATGATCGGAAAGCCAGGAGGAGACGGTGGTTGCTGATTTTTCCGCCGCTTCTTGTGTGTGAAGGCGGCGAGAAGAATACAAGAGAGAAAAAGAAGTGAAAGAAACCAAATCGGAGCCATTTTTATGTATAACGTACGTCTCAAGTTTTCTTTGCGATATCGATGAAGCAAGCTCGTGTTGTGCTTTTATACAGTTTTGTGCTATTTGCTGTCTTCAACTCTTTTAATTTCCTTTTTTCAATATTACTTTTAAAAAGATTACATTTTTGTTGGAAGTTTCTAAGAAAATGCAAACGAGTGTCAAGAAGCCGTCTAAATGAAGACAATGAGACCACCATTATCCATGGGCTCTTAGCCAAATCTTAAGATAAGATTTGTGAAGAAAAAACTTAAATATAAACCTAAAAGCTCTTATATAAGAGCTCTTTCTTCACAAATCTTAGCTTAAGATTTGGCTAAGATTCATCTAAGAGCCCATGGATAAGGGTGCTCTGACACGCTACGCTAAGATTCCTAGACGTTTTGGCTCTCTCTTTTTTCTCGCAAATTTAAAAAAAGACCGAAACCTAAAAAAGGAAAAAATATCCACCACTTGGTATAGAGGATTTCAATTAACTCAGCAAATTAAGACTTTGTTCTGCCTTTTAGATTTGTTTATAAATAGTCATTACTTGTAGTCTTATAAAACTTCATTAATATAGGAAAAGCCAATTAAATGGTTATTGTATATACACAACAAAGTCATCGGTCTTTTGAAAAATGCAATAATCAATGAGGATAACCGAGCTAACTATGAAAACAAGTAACAAGATTTACATGGTTTTATAAACAAAATCTATAAGTTCAATTTTTATATAATAAGTTTTTATTTCAGTATTTGGGTAAAATATAGTCTTTTAACTTGGTCGTATAAAAAAAAAAAAAAAAAAAAAAAAACTTGGTCGTATTTTTCTTAGCACCATTTTGTAAGTATTTAGGCTAACTTCTTAGCAATATCAGTTTAACTTTTAACATTATAGATTTAGGAATGTTTAGTTTTTAGGCTTAACATTGTGTTAGCTCAAACAATTCATATAACTATGGTCACTTTGTTTCTTAGGGTCATATTCTAAATATAACACGTCTACTATACATGTAACAATTAGTGATTCGTAAGGGCATTTGTTATATAGACCAATTATAGACCAATAGAAAATGTTTGATTAGTCAAATGTTTTTAAGAGTAAATTTTCTAGATATATAAGCATTAAGGGACATATTTTGGATACTTAGATCTACATAGTACAACAAATACCATGAAAAAAAATATTCTATTATCAACCTGATCATTGTGGCCAGACTAACGTCTACATCATTCGCAATACAAATGAAACATGATGAATCTTTGATTCTGTTCATAGATGAACAAAACATAAGTGATGTAATAGAACTCTTCGAACGATAGAGACGAATCACAGTATTTATTCAGCAGCCTCTTCCATCACATGTTCCGCGGTGACTGGAGTCACGGGGTAATAATGGTAATGTAGCTCGCCAACGTCGTCTCCAGAGAGTTTCTTCCATCCTTGAGGCCCAACGTGGTACACTGATCATACAGATTTAAGAAAGTTTTAATACATCTATAAACTTAGAATCTTGAAAATAGAGGAAAGGGATCACAAGATAATGTTGGATTGATCTTTACCGCTAGCAACTCCACCACTAGCTCCATCACGGAATGTAGCATGGTATATGGATCTCCTTGCTAACTCTGAGGCTTCTTCAACTGACATATCGAATTTGTATCTGTCAACAAAAAGAAGAACCATAAGAGTGGTTATAATAGTAAAGCAACATCTTATTTTGGTTTAGGATTGGACTAAAAGATAAGTAGGGCAATGATGATTTCTTGAAATAGAGACGTACCCGCTGTCCAGAACACCATAAGCATATGGTGAACCGGAACCGACAGAGAATCTGTCTCCCTTAAGTCGTCCTCCTTCGTTGTCAACATAGTACAATCCAGGGCCCTACTGCAAAAAAGATTACAATTTTAGCATCACAACATTTCGCTTTGCTGAGTGAAATTATAGACCGGGAAGGAAATAACGGTTAGGATATAAAGTTTGGGGTACTGACTGTTTCATCCCATCCAGCAATCATTGTACCAACAGAAAGTCCCATTCCACGGTAGGAATAGAGCATGTTAGCAAGAAGCTTTGAAGCTCCTGAAACAGAGATTCTCCTTTTGTTTGCCAGCTCATGTAGACGGCACTAGGATACACAAACAAACCACACTCTCCGTTAGAGACATAGAGTCCAGATTTGATATACAATAGAAATACTTCAACATAGTACAGATTTGGTATACAAGTTAGTAATCAAACTATTAGGATAAAACTGGGACTTGATTGTAGATACAAGAACTCAAAGAAACCATATGTATGCAAGACAACAACTCCATAACGAAAAGATTAATGCATAAAGATTTGGAAATGTTTAGTTCACAGTACAGAGGAGCTAAAGTCACCACACCACACCACACAGATAATACATGCCTAGAATCGAAAGAGACACATGTTCTTAGGTCACCAGACAGATAAGAAAGACTATTCTAATTCTAGGAAAGAGACGGATACATAACATTTATAAGTCTCCAACAAATGACTCAACAGCTTTCGGATATCAATACATTAGCTATATGAACAAAGGACAGGTAAGACGTAACCGGATTACCACAACAAGGAAGATAACTGATAGACCCAACCATCAATTTAGAAAGCTGACAAAATTAACGTTAGGTACCTTAATTCCCAGATTTCTGTGCCAGAATTGGCAATCAGCAGCTCCACCAGCCATTGTACCAAGCATATAAGGATTAATTTCAATAATCTTCTTCACAGATTGCGAAGCTTAGTGAAAAATAAAAACACAAACAAAACATCAGCAATCACACAAATTTCTTCTTTCTTTTACTTTACACTATCACTAGCCAACACACCAAAAATTAAAAATTTGTATAATAATACAACACACAAATTAAAGCCAACAAGAATGTAATTCATTCTCCATATTCAGGATCCTTTAGAGAGCTCACAACTAAAAACACACAGAAAAAGAGAAACATACAGATATATCCTCCCATGCTTGCTCGAGAATCAGCAGCAACCATAACACCTTCTTTAAAGATAAACGCAAGTGTAGTTGTACCCTTTGCAGGCTTCACCATCTCCACAGCTTTTTTCTGAAACCCATCAAACTAAAAAACAAAGCAAAACTCACAATCAAATAAAAGCAAAACCAAATCATTTTGGAATCCGAAAGATATTGAATTTCGAAACTAAATCTCACGTCGGTGGTACGAGGAAGATCAAACGAAGGTACAGACGAAAACCCATCAAGCATCTCGCTGTTTGATCCAAAACCAATCACAGGCATAGTTGTCTCCAATCCACTAGTATCAAGCTTCATTGTCAAATTCCTACAACATCATCGAATACCCATAATTGTTCAATAAATTATGAAGCTTGAGAGATACCCAAATCAGGGTATTAACAAAAAGAGCTTCCTTTCACAGTTCAAATCGGATCTAGCACGAGATAAACCAGAAACCCTAATATTTCAGTGTAAAGTCAAAGTAACGATAATTAGGGGCCTGCGACATACCTAAAGAACGAAATCGAGAAGCAAATTAACGAAGAAGAAGAAATGTGAGAGAGAAGTGGAGAATGGAGAAGCAAATTATGGAGGGATGTTTCTTGAGCTCCGGGCAAACTGAACGGGGCCAGATATGGGCGATCGGGTCGGGTTGAGTCGTTTCGGGTCATACCGCCTAAACGACAGACAGTGTTCACTATGTTGGGCTTCATGGCCAATATTGGGCCTTTTCCTTTTTGTTTTTTCCATGTTTTTATGAATATATAATTACGTTAAAATCTTGTTTGATTCTAAAATCTACATGTTTGGTTATAAAATACTGTAATAAAATCAATAAGGTTTCCAAATCTTATGTGAAATTCTTAATTAATTAGAATTCATAAACCAATAACACATCCTTAAAATATTATTCTTCTCTTTCCTTGTGAAATTTATAAAGTTAAAAGTCTTAAAACAGCCTCTTAAGTTTGGAACATTCTACTTTACAAAAACTAATGACGCAATTAAAATCAAATGATTAACAATTAGTACCAATGAATACAGAAGATTAATTATTTCTAAAAATGGCAAAAAAAAAAGGAAAATGAAAAAAAAAAGAGGAGCAAACGTAATCGCAAAACGCTAGCGTTTGGTATTGCATCTTTTAGCGCGCATAGCTCCTGAAGGAGGACTATTCAATGAAACACTGCAATGAGTATGCAACCAATAAGAGTATCTAAACAATGGTCCAAAATACGAACGTGCATGAAACGTTCCTCTGAGGTTCAACAAAACCGGACCGGTTTCAATCTGACGCTGCAGCTCCCGACTCTGCGTTGGCTGAAGCTGGACCTGACTGCTCACAAGATGAACACTCGCAAACATCGACGTTTTCTTAGGAACATTAAAAGGTTCAATGTATTGAGTCGCTATGAGTGTATTGTAATAGTAAAGCTCGAACGTCACATAGCTAAACTCCACACTGCTTTTCTTGCTTGGGTTTGTGACGTTTGCTAAAATGGTTAGATCACCGTTTAGAAGAAACCCCATGTCGAGATAAGCAGCGTTTAGGTTAGCAGCTGAGATGTCCATGTAAGGAGAGCGAGGACGGTACACGAGGTAAACGATTAGGATAATAAGACCGCCGAGAATAAGAATGACCCAGAATATTGCACAACAAAATGCAGCTGACCATGTCATTGCGTTTGTCTCTCTTGAGGGCGGCAGTAACCGTGGGCCACCACGGTGATGTGGGGATGGAGTTGGAGCGGTTCTCCATGGACTTGGTTTGGGTATTGGAGGTAATGTTGATCCATAACCGCCTCTGCTGCGTTGTGGTGGTGGAGGTCTTTGTTGTTGTTGTTGTAGTTGTTGATGTTGATGATCTTCGAGGCTTAATGGCAATGGTCTTTCCGTAGAGTTTGGAGTTTTTTGTGGCGGTAGTTTATCTTCTCGGGGTAAAGGTATTACAGAATGTTTCGGTTCTTGGATTGGTTTTTCACGGTGGCGACCACGAGTCTTGATTAGGATTCCGGGTGGAGCGACTGGGTGAGGTTGCGTAGTTTTATGGTGCGGGTTTTTTTGGTGTGGAATGGGCTGGATGAGTGGTTGGTGCGGAGATGTTTGTGAGGTAGAAGCACCGCCTTTGAGATGTGGATTCTGCGATGGAATTCGCGCGAAATGAGGGTTGGTTTCATGGTGATGATGATGAGACATTTAGATGAAGAAGCTAAAAAGCATCAAAGGAAACTAAGTTAAGTAAAGACTTGAGATGAAAGAATGAGAACAGAGAGATTTGAACTGTTTTTAATTTCTAAATGAGATAGAGAGAGAGAGAGAGAATAACTTGGTGACAAGTTCAAGTAAGGATTCTTGTTGTAGAAAACAAAATAAAGAAGGAAAGTGATAGAACGAAGCAAGTAATCTTTTTGTAGATTCCTTGCATTAAATCAAAATCAGTTTCTAATCTCTAAAGATAAAACCAAAAAAAAAAAGATAACTATTAAAAACATTCTTTCTTTTCTCATTCAAAAGTTAGTTAAGAAAATTGTAAGTCCAATTTCTCTAAAACCCAAATAAAGATCTCGATTTTAGGAAGTCATGAAGTATATGTCAATCTTTCTTTCTTCAGCTCATTCAAGGGGAAAGATGTTGATTCTCCGAGCAACTTAGGTTTTCTTACGAATATATCTGAGAAATTAAGACGAACTTGTAGAATATGTCAGTAAACTATGAACATGTTAAGATATGTCCCCCATAGATCAAGGAGGCCACAGATTGGTTAGCGCAAATCTGCAGACAGATATTATGTTCTCTGATCTCTCTGATCAATTTCTGCAGCATCAAACATGAAACTAACGACTCTGCAATGCCGGTTACTGCAAACGTTGACAAAGAAAACTACCGAATACTAGTAAAAAACTGGAAGCAAACAACGAACTAAACTCATTCAAAAAGTATCTCCAAGGATCCTCGGTGCAATCACAGACCTGTATTTGTCCTTCCTATAATCTCTTACCCCCTTCCTTGACATGGCATGTATTTGCAGAAAATGGAAGTGTGAACGCCTGGAAAGAGTTAACCTACGCTTTAAACGCGAAGAAAGCAGAACGATCTTAGGGTCATAATGGCTGGAACAAGAAAAACAATTCAAGCACAGAGAGTCAGAGACCCACATACCACAGTCATACAAAGTGCAGGAGAAGTAACGCACTTGCCGTCTCATGAAATTATCTAAGATCCCTGAAACAACTTTCAGTACATGTACTCCTAAGATCTCATGTTCTTTCTAATGATCATTGGAAACTTACGAAAGAGAAGCCATAGAGTAAACAACTAATCAAATCCACATTGAATCCATTCATCAAAAGTTGAAAATGTAAAACTGGGTCATATCACAAGCATACTAACACTGATCAACAGTAATTCCCAGAAAATGTAATCGAAAAGAAAATAATGATGAATGGTTATAGCAGCAACATTGCTTCACCTCATCTCTCATAAACCTCTGCAAAGAAGAACAATGAAGAAAAAACAAGATCTTACTAACCAAACAACACCATTAAACCCTAAAAATGTGAATATTTTGGGAAAATCTAAAACATTACCTGACTTTCTTGATGAGGATTGATTGAAGTTTGCGAGCAAAGTCAATGGATTTGATTCTGCGTTCAAGATTCTTCCTAGCGAGAACCTTCTTCTCCGAATTCTTAATGTGATGAGTCTGAGTCCCTTTGATAAGCCTCTCCATTCCACTAGATTGCATCTTCTTCTGCAAAATCGTCAATGCTTTGTCCAGATCATTGGAAAACACCTTCACTCTTATCCCTCGCTCCTGCTGCAACTGGTGGTTCTGAGTCATGAATCCCGTAACTCGCTTCGCTATCGTGTTCATCTTTTTTCAGAAATGTTCTTCTCACTTTTACTTTGTTTTCTGCAAATTCAGGTTACATAATCGTCAATGCTGAGAAAGTAGATTGGATTGGAGAGAGATAGTAATCGGGATCTGAATTCGACTTACCGGTCGGAATCTCGCCGGAGAGATCAAAGAGCTAGTTTGACTGATGATTGAGAATGTCGTCTAGGTTAAAAAAAAAAAGAGGCGATGGGGAAATGAGAAAAAATCAGAGAATATAAGGATGATTATGTAAATATGATGAGATACATGGATGTGTTTGTAAATATCACTATATCTAATCCTCTGTTTGATTTTTTTTTTTTTAATAACAGTAGCAGTTAACCGGTCGTCATATAATCGAAAAAATATAAGCTAACGATGACTACTCCAAAAGTAAACAAGTCATTTCGTATGAATTTTCGACAAACCTACCACATGTTAAAACATTTTTGCTTAGCAAAATGATTTAGTCAATTAAACAAAGAAAAAACAACAAGCTTGTAGGAATCTAGATAAGAACAAGAGTATAAAGTCCAATAGTAGAGAAACTTAATGAGTGGAGAGTAATTACATTCCATAGAGAAATCTATGTATGCATATAATACACAAGTCCAATAGATTAATGAGTGGACACTAATTACATATGCGCATATAATACATAAGTCCAATAGATTAATGAGTGGACAGTAATTACATACCATAGAGAAACTTAGCTAATTACATACCATCTTATATATGTATCAGTCCAAGAGATCACAAAAATCTTCACAAGAAAAAAAAATCTTAAAGAATTCAGAGATGCAAAATGATGATGATGACACTTCTCTTATGCTCAATAATCTTAAAGAATTTAAAAAGACAAAAGTAAACAAGAACATATCTAGAAAAAAAAACTATATGCAGAGAAGTAACAGAGGAAGATCATACTACTTGAAATCTAGCTAACCATCAGTTTTGAGCTATTTTCTACAACAAAATAAACCCAAGACAACAGTTTTAAGCCTTTAATGTCAGTGATCATATATCAATACTACTAACCTTTAGTTGTATTACTCATTTTGACAACTAAAGGTGGACTTTACTTTCTTGAAGCAAGAGACAGAATCATAAAGCATGAGACTCAATTAACAAGCGTTAGTGAAGACATGAACAGTAACTAATATGAACTCTTCTAAGTTTGGTATATAAGCACTTAGAATCTTAGCTTCTGATCTTGGTTCAAAACAAAAATGATCTTACTGTAAGTAGTTCATGATACAAATCTAAAGAAAGAACACAAACTACCTTGATAAGAGGTACTTGAAGCAAAGTTCCTCCGACCACCTCTGCCACTTGCTTGTGTAACTGGCACTATATTCTGCAGAAAGTAATCATATGGATAATGAAGGATATAGAAACATAACAGCAGATAAAAGATTTATAACCAAAAAAAGAACATGATCAACTAAACAAGTATTAGAGCTAACCTAATCTCAGTTTTTGGTTTTATATTACAATACAAACTGCAAGTAACACTTGAGATCCAAGTTAAAACACAAAGAAGATGAGTAAGCTCAAGTTATTAATCGTATACTTTACACAACCCAACCAGAATAAGTCAAGAAATAAAGACACACCAGAAACCATAAATCCCTTCACCTCCAACATATTCGTCTAAAGAAACAGAGGAAGCTGAACTAAACAAATGAAGTGCCTTATCCTCACATATATCTCAATGATAGTACAAGCTGAACTAAATCCTCACAAAAAGACTAGCTTTTAGCTAAAACCTTTAAAATCTGTAGTGAGTGTTGTTAATTCAACAAATGATAAATAGATCTGCAAGTTCAAATACCCAATTCTCAAAATCAATAAGTAAGCTCCAATGCCTAAAGTAAAAAAATTTGGTTAGAGAAATCACTATGAAACAACTCACAGAGAAGATGGGTTTAAAAAGGACTACTTGAAATCGAATAAACCCATATTACAGAACATTCTCAATACAAAAATCCATTGAATGGCAAATTGCAAACGATTGAAATTAGGAGGGACTGAATCCAAATTGCAAACGAAATCAAATTTACCTTTGAAGTTAGGAGATTGACGAACAGAGGAAGGTGAATCAGGAACAAACTCGTCGGGAACAAGCTCGAAATCTTTACTTCTCTGTTGTTTCAGTAAGAGAGATCGAATTAGAGATACAATTAGATTTTGATCCCAAAAAAAAAGGAGATACAATCAGATAATTCAGGGGTGGTTATGAAATTGTAATAATCTATAGGGATGAGTTTGTAAATAGCCTTAAATCTAATCCTCTGTTAGATTTAGAGAGTATTGACTTTGAAGAACAACATTCAAGCCTTTCAAAAAAAAAAAAAAAAAAAAAAAAGCTTCTTTAATTTCTCTCTCTGTGGAGTGTTCGAATCTCCAAGCGCCTCTCACATGGCAGCGTCCGCATAGTACAGCTGAAGAAGAAGAAGAACTGTTGCTATATCTATAGAGAAGAAGAAAAGGAAGAGATAATATACAAATTAAGCTGGCGACTTTTAGTCCGAGGCGAGCAATGGCAGAGTTACGGCACTCGAGCTCTCTCGGTAGCCGATCTTCTTCCTCTCCGTTACGTGCCGGAGATGAGGACTCTTCATCGCCTCACGTACACGATCACTCACCTAACGGCGGAGACGACGAAGATGGTCGACCACGTCATCCTTCAAGAGATCGAGACCGTCCGATCTGGTTTCACTCTTTGTTTCCTTTCTTCGGTGATGATCCTAGGGTTTCTCCTCAGAAGAATAAAATCTCGCTTCTATTGATTTTGATTCTCGCTATTGCTAGCTTGATCTCAGTTTATGGGATTATTAATCACTTGGTAAGTCTCTTCTTTCGATCTAGGAATTGAGATCTTCAAGGCTCTATTTTCAAATTGTTGAATCGATTTGGGAAAGTATTTAGCTTTGTTTTGGATTGACATTGTTCTCAGACTAAGATTGCTTCTATGTCTATCTTTGGTTTCTGCAGAATGCTCCATATTTGTGTAAAAAAGATGGGATTGTGCTTAACTGTCCTCATGTAAGTGTTTGAAAACTTTGGTTTATGTGTTTTGTTGAATGCATTAGCTCTGAATCTTGTGTTGGTTTGCATTTGTAAGGTAAAAGAGTCTCCTTCTCCATGGGAAAATCCTTTATCTGCAACAACTTCTTGGAAGCCATGTGCTGAGCGGCGGGTTGGTGGAATCTCAGGTATTAAGGGTTTAGAGGATTGACTTTGTCATTGTCATGTGTTCTTGATCTGTCTTTTCGTGAAAGGTCAAGTCTTTTTCCATGATTATTAGATTCTATCAACTGTTTTTTTCAGATCTTCCTCCTGAGAACGAAACAAATGGCTATGTATTCATTCATGCTGAAGGTGGTTTGAATCAGCAGCGAATTGCTGTATGTATCTTCCATGCTTTTATCTCTTTTTCTTCTTGCCATTATACAATCATGGATCAATGCCCAAATGGTTGTTGTTCTTCTTGCCATCGTCCAATCATGGATTCATGCCCTTTTATGACTTTTGTTTCCAGATCTGCAATGCAGTAGCTGTTGCTAAGATTATGAATGCAACACTGATTCTACCAGTACTGAAGCAGGACCAAATATGGAAAGACACAACGTAAAACCTTATCCAGATATTGAATTCATTTCCTCTTGAATTACTTCTCTAAGTTACTCTCTCTATTTTCTTTATAATTTACTGAGTCTGTTAAATTTCTTTTCCAGAAAATTTGAAGACATTTTTGATGTAGATCATTTTATTGATTACTTGAAGGATGATGTCCGAATTGTTCGAGACATACCTGACTGGTTCACTGACAAAGCAGAGCTATTCTCTAGTATAAGGTTTGCTTGTCAACTCTTTTGTTTGTTTGTTTGATGATGTTCTTCTTTGAAGATTTCAAATGTGAGCTTGTGGATTTATGGCGTCATTGGGTGCTCCGTGTGTATATATCTATTGAATAATCGATCAGTATTTTTTTAATCAGATATGACGTTGACCGAGTTATTTATTAATCTTCTGCAGAAGAACAGTCAAAAACATTCCCAAATATGCAGCTGCCCAATTTTATATAGACAATGTTTTACCTCGAATAAAGGAGAAGAAGATAATGGCCTTGAAGCCTTTTGTCGATCGACTTGGGTATACTCTTTATTCTATAGTTTAGGGCTCAGGCTTTCAGAATTTTTCTTGTAACCGATGAATGATATATCCTTGTGGTGCTGGAAATTTTTCAGGTACGACAATGTACCTCAAGAAATCAACAGATTACGATGCCGTGTAAATTATCATGCTCTCAAATTTCTCCCAGAGATAGAGCAGATGGCTGATTCACTTGTTTCTAGAATGAGAAATCGCACTGGCAATCCGAATCCGTACATGTATGGAGATATCAGACATCGAGAACTTTGTTTTAACTTGGGATCTTATGCATTTTTTCGACTCAAAAACTATGTCCATATCTCTTGTATAGGGCTCTTCATCTTAGATTCGAGAAAGGAATGGTTGGTCTATCATTTTGTGACTTCGTGGGGACAAGGGAAGAGAAAGTTAAAATGGCAGAATATAGACAAAAGGAATGGCCTCGGCGTTTCAAGGTGACATTTATAAGTGATTGATAACTTCTATTTTGTGGCTCAACAGCCTTAACCGCTGCAATAATGAATTTGCTTGACTTGTTTTGCAGAATGGTTCCCATCTCTGGCAGCTCGCCTTGCAAAAGCGCAAAGAAGGCCGATGCCCTCTTGAGCCAGGAGAAGTTGCTGTGATCCTTCGCGCAATGGGTTATCCAAAAGAAACACAAATCTATGTTGCATCTGGTCAAGTCTATGGCGGCCAAAACCGTATGGCTCCACTAAGAAATATGTTCCCAAATTTGGTAAGCACAGCACCAGACTCCATCTCATCAAATTCTATGATCAGTCAGCATGCTGTCTCTTACCACAACCTCCCCTTTGAATCAGGTAACAAAGGAGGATCTAGCAGGAAAAGAGGAACTAACAACTTTTAGAAAACACGTAACAAGCCTCGCAGCTCTAGATTTCTTGGTCTGCTTGAAATCAGATGTATTTGTGATGACACACGGTGGAAACTTTGCAAAACTGATCATTGGAGCACGTAGATATATGGGTCATCGACAAAAATCAATCAAACCGGACAAAGGGTTGATGTCGAAATCATTCGGGGATCCTTACATGGGATGGGCAACTTTTGTGGAAGATGTAGTTGTAACCCATCAAACACGAACCGGTTTACCCGAAGAAACTTTCCCTAACTATGATCTTTGGGAAAATCCTCTCACTCCATGCATGTGTAAAGCTTGATGATGCTGCTTTTGTTTTGGTTTATAAAGAAGAGATGAGTTTCGTCTTGGATTTTGTCTGATGAGGAGCTACAAAACTATAGAGATTCGTAGTTTTTTTTCTTTAACTTCCAAATCTTTGAAGTCTTCTTCACTTACCATCTTTGTAATCATTTTGACATTATGTAAAGTTCCTAGTGAAGAAAAAAAAGGTTTTTTTTTTTATATTAAATTTTATCAAATTGATGCACTAAATTGTAAAATCAACAATTTTTATTTAGAAGATAATTAGCTCAACGGTTACTAATCTAATTCTTAATTCTTGTTACGCTCTCTAAGTAGTAGTACCCGCCACTAACACAACAATTGCGTGTTGTCTTCTCTCTCACTCTCAGGTTCTCAACAACATAAGAGGCAAACAAAATCAGAAGCCATCGTAATCAGGTCTCATCGCTATGACCGGACCATCCGTAGAGAAAACCGGGTCGACCCGGTTCATTGTCTTCTTCATCGTCCTCAATCTTTCCATTTTTAGGTACTCTGTTTCACTGTAATGAAAATGGGTTTTTGATTTTGGTTTTTGTTTTTGAGTGGGTGGTCTTTGTGTGATCGATCAATCGCAAAAATTTCATCTTTTTTCAGTTTATCGATTGAAGCAAGATCGAGCCAACAACATGCTAGCTTTCCTCCAAGAGGATGGAATTCGTACGATTCCTTTTGTTGGACTATCTCTGAAGCTGAGTTCTTGCAAAGTGCTGAAATTGTTTCTAAGCGTCTTCTTCCTCATGGTTATCAGGTAATTGCATAAACAACCAAACCCTAGTGGAAATTTTGTTTCTTTGTCATTTAGAATGTGAAAGTTTGGGATTTTAATTGCCTGTGTTTGTGTGTGTGTGTGTGGATTTGGGTACAGTATGTTGTGGTGGATTACCTTTGGTATAGAAAGAAAGTTGAAGGAGCTTATGTGGATTCTCTTGGGTTTGATGTGATTGATGAATGGGGAAGATTGCATCCTGATCCAGCTAGATGGCCATCTTCTAGAGGTGGTAAAGGTTTCACTGAAGTTGCTGAGAAAGTTCATAGAATGGGTTTGAAGTTTGGGATTCATGTTATGGGAGGAATCAGCACACAAGCTTATAACGCTAATACTCTTGTTATGGATAGTGTTAAGGTAATTTGGTTTTCGATATCTTTTTGGGTTGATAAAGTTTGTATGGAAGTAACAATTGAATTGACCTCTTTTTGGTTAAAGGGAGGTGCTTATGAAGAATCAGGTAGGCAGTGGCGAGCGAAAGATATTGGGATCAAGGAGAAGGCTTGTGTGTGGATGTCACATGGGTTCATGAGTGTGAATACCAAGTTAGGTGCAGGAAAAGCTTTCTTGAGGTCTCTCTATCGACAATATGCCGAATGGGGCATTGATTTCAGTAAGAGAATCGGCTTCATATCCATTACCTTCTTTATCTCAATTCAATAGATGAATATCTAAATCTTGTCTCACTTTCTTGGTATTTAGTAAAACATGACTGCGTATTTGGCACTGACTTCAATATAGAGGAGATAACTTATGTGTCAGAGGTACATATTTTTAATAACTAGCAATCTTCTGGTTAAAGTCATATGTACATAGAGATGTGAACCATATTGCTTTTATTGTCGCAGGTTCTGAAGGAGCTTGATCGGCCTGTTTTATACTCCATATCTCCAGGGACCAGTGTGACACCTACAATGGCTAAAGAAGTTAGCCAATTGGTTAACATGTACAGAATAACAGGTGATGATTGGGATACATGGAAAGATGTGGCGGCTCATTTTGATATCTCGAGGTCAAGTTTCAAGCTGAAAAATACTCTTGCCAA